CATGCTGTTATTCCTCTTGTGTTTCTTACTTATAGATTGTAAGCTTGTTTCAGCAAGGCCTCTGTCACTACTTGTCTCTGTTAATATTTTGTACGTCAATTACGTGGCAAATATCCACCATTTATAATTGTGCTGTGAAAAATGTTTGCACTATGAAAATGATGATATTAATAAAAAAAAAATTAGATCTACATGTCATGCAACAGCAAAGGGAGACAGCTCTGTAGCAGCTATTCTTTGCTAGACCCTGCCTCAGAGTTTATATGTTCTAAAGACACACATGTGCATAGCTATACTCAAGTTTCTAATGTGCCTGTGTGTGATGGATTAGATCATGAAGAAATCAGATATGAGCAATGAACGCATGATTACGTTGTATGAATCACTTCGCTGTTTGATAGAAGCCAGTTTCCTGTCTGTTTGTGACATAGCAAACTACTGATTCACAGGAGGTTAGAGTCAACACTGTTTTATTCTAACCGACCAGCTGATGTACTTTAACATTATTGTATTTTTCTTACTAATGTGAAAATGCTTGTAAAGTGAGGTATTATGGAATGCTGCAAACAGTGAGTTTCAATCTCCCAAATGTCATATATAAATTCTTATTTTGACTAGATATATTTACACCCAATAAGGCAGCGAACCTTTTGCATTCAAGATGATGCAGACTACCTTTCCAGCGATGCTCAGTCAGCCATTTGGCATACTTTGCTGGCTGAGCAAGACTTGGAAGCATACTCCACATGTCTCAAACGCCAAAGCAAAGCTATTACCAGTAGTATGAAGACAAAGTCATAAAGGAAGGTCAACCACATCACTAAACACCACAAAAGGTTAATCATTTGTGTTGCTTGTTAACTTGAGTTGAATCTAAGGTCAGTTTACCTTGCAGTTTTGACTACAGCGATGTGCGCTCTTGAAACGGGTTCACCTCAAAGCCCAAGTTCTTTGGTGTAGTCAGTGCCTACTGGATTCACTGGAACAGTAAGTGAATTTTTACACTTTGTGGGTGTTGGATAATCAATGACACTAGATATATTAGGAGCTCTGGGGAAATCTGGTGATTTGCTCATTTAACAGGTTTTGCCTGCAAATGGGAGATGGGAGAGTGAGGTAAGGAAAGATAGGAGAGATAGGTAAGGAGAGATAGGAGAGTGGGAAAGTGTGAGGAGCATGATATTGCTAGGATACAAAGAAATTACTCATAACCGTATGTCCTCTAACCACAGCTGTACCTAGTCAGTTATTCTGTGGTCATGAATCCCAATGGACTCTTGATATTCTCAGTGCTTAGTAGCTAGGCAGTCTACTCCCACATGCTGTTGAAGATAGGCAAGGAGAATAATTCCAGGTCCTTCATAACATGGATATCTTCCTTGCAATGCCCTTCTACCTCACAAGTCAAAAACCGAAACCACCACCAAAAGAAAAAAAAAAAAAGAAATTGCAACAAGGAGGAATTTTGTAGAAAAATCCCAAGTTCTTAAGGAACAATTCTACCAAAAAGGTTACATCTTAAAAGAAGTGAAAAAACAGTTTATGGTAGTGAAAGATAAACCAAGGAAGGATCTTTTGGAATATAATAAAGAACAAAGCAGCACACAAAATGAACAGTTAACATTTCTTAGCAATTTGAATTCTCAAAGCCATATTTTTAAAAGAATTTCAAATAAACATTGGCATATTTTAAGACAAAATGAAGAAAATAAGGATATAAATACGTATATAGGAGAAAAGTCTAAAGTAGTCTATAGGGGAGCAAACTATTTTAAGAATATTTTAACTAAAAGCTGTATCCCAAAGAGAGGAAGGGTAGATAAAGATGTATTGGCACTAAATTGAAGGGTTTCCACAATTGTGGACAATGTAAAGCTTGTAAAAGTATAAATATCATTTCTTTAAAAAAAGGAAACACTTTCATCTGGCGTTACAAAAAGGGAGTATTTTATTGAGTATTTTATTACATGTAATACTAGTAATGTCATATATATTTTGATGTGCAAATGTTGCCTCCAATACGTTGGGAGGACCACTAGACCACTTAAAATAAGAGTGATTGAACACTTGCGCAATATGCCAAATAAAGTTACAACGCATTCTGTATCTGCTCATTTTACTCAAAGCAATAATTGTGATTTTAAAATGCTAAATTTTATTGGTATACAAAAAGTAGCCAAGCCATGGAGAGGTGGGGGGGAGGAACTTTTAGAAGATTTTAAATAAAACAGAGATGAAATGGATCTTCAATTTAGAAACCCTCTCTCCTCATGGTCTTAATATAGATTTTGAAATGTATTATTTTATTTAGGATATTCACTAGTGCAATAAATATATGAGTATTGTAGATGATAAAATATTTTATATTTTTAACAATTTTTTTCTTTCCTTCTTCTTTCTTGTAATTATGTACTGGTCATGTATTTTTATGACTGGGAACTTATTTATATTAATGGGACTGTGAGCACTAAGGATATTGATATTATAGGTTAAGATTTCCCCATATAAGGAAATTGGAACTGTTTGGATTGTGTGTAACTGAGATATAACTAACGTCGGAACGAACAAATATGACTGCTGGAACGCATTTCGAAGGTGGAAAGCATGAATATGGCCGTTGGAATGCATAACGTCGGAACCGGAAGTGACATCACATACCATTGCAATATCGATCGCAATGAAATAATGAGACTGGGAAGGTTCCTATAGGGTAATTATAGTAAGTGGGGTTTTCATAATTTGAAAAATAAGCACCAATATGGACTTAAAAGCTTAGACATCACATGGAAATATGTAAACTCCTGAGGAAGACACAGATTTTAGCATTGAAACGGCCTGTGCTATTGAAATTGGAGGCACTTTTCTGTATGTACACTTTTACCTTTTTTGTAATAAATATTATTTGTTTTAAAGTTAGAAGTTGGTGCTCTTCATCTATTTCTACTAAGAAGATCTGGTATTCCTGAATGGGACCTGCACTGTTTTACAATGCTGTATTACCTGAGCCAGTTTGTTAACAGGCTCATAAAAATGTGAGTTGATGACCTAAAGAATACATTTACTACAAAACCTGGGACATTACTATACTACTCAATGAGAGTGTATTGTCTATTTATTTTTTCAGAAAGAAGTGTTATTCTGTTCATCCTTAGGTATATTTATACTCACTTTTATACACATTGGGTGGGATTAAGATTATTATATATTGGTTTTATATACTTTGCGCTAAACACTGTTTACTATTGTATATTTTATCTTTGGTGCAATATTTAGTGATTGGGTCCCTCAACCCACACATACAAAGCCCTCATATGTTGTCACACTGCCACATTCACCTCTTTACCCTGTCAGACTTACCACCCAAAAGCTGTCACTCGCTCCCACACATAAAACACAGCCTGACCATAAACACAATACACAAAAACTACAAGGAGCCTGTCACGAACGCACCCTACTTCAAGAGTGTGCGTAACATAGTTGTGGTGGTGAAAGGGTTAAAGTTCATTATTTAAATCCCCCTTAACACCACCCTTACTTAAACATAATAATATAACTATTACTATTTTAACGCTGCCACCACCAAGACAATTTATAAATGGGGTGTCTTGGTCCCCCAGGTAACTTAATAATAAAAACCCACCAAATACAATTTAGCACAATATCTAAGCAATTGCAAAATACGAATTAGTCTCTTCAGGTAACATGATTCTTAACCAGACAAAGGCAGAACTTGATAAACTTGATAACTATTTATTATGAGCAAAAAAATTGATGAAAAAATAATTATTTACACCAACAACAGAGAAAAACAAAAGGGATAAAATAACAGAAGTCCTAAACACATACACATACAGGTTTTCAAAGTAAAACTTCTGCCCAGGGGGTCTCCGGTAAGGAAGATGATGACTTACTCAAAATGAGATTTTGGCCCCAAGCAATTATAATGCACACTTCAGTCTCATTAGAGATATACCCTGAGGATTACCACGCCTCACCCAGAGGTGGAGTTAAGGCATATCTATAGAGACCCTAAGTGACCACCCCCTTGTGTCCAGATTCACATCAATCCAAATGGAAACATTTGGCTCTATCTTCTCTCATATACCTGCCACAGAAATAATAATTGCATCTAGGTAGAGGCCATATGGCTGAAGAGACATTCTGGCTACTTATATTCGACTTCTCACACCTTACAGAGCCTTTGATTAATTCACAGGCTCTATCCATATGGTAAAACCCTTTTCACATTCCTATGCAATTACCATTGCCCCTTCTGTCATCTGACCTTGGTGGGGGGTCCCAGATTGAAAGAGAATTAAAGCTAAAAAAACAAAACAAAACAAAAAAAAACCATTCTGACCTTATTAACCCCTTTTGACATTGACAATACCATCTCTACCAGGCAGGCAGATCATTAATGCACCACACAAATTACATTACAGGACAATATTCCATAGTGCAATAATGAATTATGCCCCTTGCCATGACAGAGCCCCCTTACAAACAACACAGTGCAAGCAAATACCCCACACGCATACACTCCCACACACATACATACATATACAGACTGAAACAGAGTCACACATTTACACACAAGGTTGCTTATGCACATACATAGGCACACAGATATTATACACACACAGATCTGTGTTATACAGAGAACAGCACTATAGTATTATACAGATAGCTAAGCATATACCCCATGTCCCAATCTCTAGACTACTAGTACCTGTCAACAGCAGCTCCCAGACGCGTGTAACAGGGCTAAAGTGTGCGGCAGCTCGCACAGATGATTCAGCGGTAAAGCGCACTCGCTGGCAGAGCCAAACTGGGAATCCAAAGCAGCCCTGGAAAAAAATGTATGCCATTCCTACAAGTCAATAGATATATATATATATATAAAAGTAGAGATTGAGCCGTATTAGTCCAGTGATGTAGAAAACAGATAAAATTCTTATCTTGTAATACCTTTTTTATTGGACTAACAGAATTTTTTAATGACAAGCTTTCGGGAGAACCTCCCTTTCTCAAGTCAGAAATGCTTCAGACTTGAGAAAGGGAGGTTCTCCCGAAAGCTTGTCATTAAAAAATTAAAATTCTGTTAGTCCAATAAAAAAGGTATTACAAGATAAGAATTTTATCTGTTTTTTACATCTATATATATATATATATATATATATATATATATATATATAGTACAGTGAGCACACAAGCTCACTGACATGCGCAAATAGGCACACTGACAGACAAAAAACTCTGACTCACACACAAGCTTAATACAGACAAACTCACTACAAAGAAGTTCAGGGACACACACAAGCTCACTAAAGACAAGCTCACTGACACACACATGCTCACTAAATAGAAGCTCACTGACACACACAAGCAGTACCATCTTAACAGTGTTAAGGGCCCCGAGCAAAGCAGTGCACTGGGGCCCTTCCTACACAACAACTCACAGGAATACAAATTTAAATTATTGATAGACTGCTGAGTACATACACACAGTACACTGAATACGAACACGGAGAGACTGCTGAATACACACACACACACACACACACACACACACACAGATTTCTGTATGCACACAGACTCCTGAATGCACACAGACGTTGCTGAATGCACACAGTCTGATTTATACACTTACACACAGACTGCTGAGTCCATACACACACCCTGCTGAGTCCATACACTCACACAGATATACAGATTGCTGAGTCCATACACACACACACAGACTGCTGAGTCCAAATACAAACACAGACTGCTGAGTCCATATACACACACACACACATACACAGACTGCTGAGTCCATACACACACACAGGCACACAAACACAGACAGCTGAGTCCATACACAAATACAGACTGCTGAGTCCATACACACACAGACACAGACTGCTGAGTCCATACACACACAGACACACAGACTGCTGAGTTCATACAAACACACAGACGCACAGACTGCTGAGTTCATACACACACACAGACGCACAGACTGCTGAGTTCATACAAACACACAGACGCACAGACTGCTGAGTTCATACACACACACAGACTGCTGAGTCCATACACACACACAGACTGCTGAGTCCATACACACACAGACTGCTGAGTCCACACACACACACAGACACACAGACTGCTGAGTTCATACACACACACAGACAGACGCACAGACTGCTGAGTTCATACACACACACAGATGCACAGACTGCTGAGTTCATAAACACACACACACACAGTCTGCTGAGTCCATACACCTACGCACACACACACACACAGACTGCTGAGTCCATACACACAGAGACTGCTGAGTCCATACACACACACAGACTGCTGAGTCCATGCACACACAGACTGCTGAGTCCATGCACACACACAGACTGCGTGCTGAGTCCATGCACACACACAGACTGCGTGCTGAGTCCATGCACACACACATAGACTGCTGAGACCATACACACACACACAGACTGCTGAGTCCACACACACACACACAGACTGCTGAGTCCATACATACACAGACTGCTGAGTCCATACACACACACAGACTGCTGTGTCCATGCACACACAGACTGCTGAGTCCATGCACACACCGAGACTGCTGAGTCCATGCACACACACAGACTGCGTGCTGAGTCCATGCACACACACATAGACTGCTGAGACCATACACACACACACAGACTGCTGAGACCATACACACACACACAGACTGCTGAGTCCCACACACACACACACACACAGACTGCTGAGTCCACACACACACACACACACACACAGACATGCAGACAGACTGCTGAGTCCACACACACACACAGAATGCTGAGTCCATACACAGACACAGAGTACTGAGTCCATACACACACACACAAACTCTGCTGGATCCATACACACACACACACACACACATACTCTGCTGAATCCATACACACACAGACACACACACACACCAAGCCTACCGGTCACTGGAGGCTGTTGCTGGGGGTCAGACAGCCATCTTCCATTCTTTCCAGCAGCAGCATGGGCCTCTGCTTAACGGCGGGGTGGGGCTTATGTGCAGGAGGCAGGGCTTCATTTGGGGGCGGGGCCTGTGCTGGGGAGCCTGTCAGTGCTCCCTCCGGCCACAGACAGCCCCCAGCACTGCATTCCCTTGGGCTGTCACATACTGTTACAGTCCGAGGAAATAGAATGGAAGCACATGGCCAGCAAGTTGCTGGAATTTGGGGGAGGTCCAAGGGGTGGCACAGCATGATGTAGGGGGGCCATGACCCTCTCTGGCCCCCCCTAGCGACGCCACTGGTCACAATACCGAACTCCCCAGCCTCTCTACGTCTACTTATGTTCAAAACCACCTACCCCAAACCAGTTAAATACTTAATATTTCACATACTTGTGGCAGCCCAACACTTCATTGCAAAAAACTGGCTATCGCCAACTAATGCATCAATGCAAGAGCTGATCCGACATATCTCCCAAATTGGGAAATACAAATCCAATATAGCCCGGGTACCACCTCACAAGTGCTGGGGACATGAAGTATGGGAAAATTGGGCGCTGAAACACCTGACCTGAACCCCAGTTACACCAACGAGAGAAACATCCCCACACCTAAGCATAGGGGTGACACCGGGAGACAACAACACCACAGTTAGCTAACCAATATGGGACATGACGAACGGAGGGGAGAAACATTAGGTCATAGACCCATGGGACCATACCTGTACCAAGGGTTCCAAACCCCCACTGAAGCCAGTATGCTGGATGAACACCCCCCCCAATAACCACTTTCTTTCAATGCTGCTTCCCCCCCTGCTACCTACCTCCACCTCCCCGCACTTCTAGTATAGAATTGTCAGGATTACAGTATGATCCAGCACGTAGAATTGTGTAACACAGAGGACTGATAGGTAACGTATACCAGACCTTAGAATGGCCTGACTAACATACCAAAGATTAGTCAGAAATAGCCGAGGTCAAGGGATACAGAAAGAGACACAACGATAAGGAAAAGCCAGGGGTCAGGAATGCCAGAAAACAGGGAAGATTCCATCCCTGGTGGTCCAGTGGCATGGGGGGCCCCTGGCTCCCTGTTACCGCAGAGGGGGCCCAGCACACTGCCTCTACTTTTCTCTTCTCTTCTAATAACTCTCACGATACCCGCGGCCTTCTGAGCGTTGCCATGAGGTAAGGAAAGATAGGAGAGATAGGTAAGGAGAGATAGGAGAGTGGGAAAGTGTGAGGAGCATGATATTGCTAGGATACAAAGAAATTACTCATAACTGTATGTCCTCTAACCACAGCTGTACCTAGTCAGTTATTCTGTGGTCATGAATCCCAATGGACTCTTGATATTCTCAGTTTCATTGAAACTTTTCAGTGCTTAGTAGCTAGGCAGTCTACTCCCACATGCTGTTGAAGATAGGCAAGGAGAATAATTCCAGGTCCTTCATAACATGGATATCTTCCTTGCAATGCCCTTCTACCTCACAAGTCAAAAACTGAAACCACCACCAAAAGAAAAAAAAAAAAAGAAATTGCAACAAGGAGGAATTTTGTAGAAAAATCCCAAGTTCTTAAGGAACAATTCTACCAAAAAGGTTACATCTTAAAAGAAGTGAAAAAACAGTTTATGGTAGTGAAAGATAAACCAAGGAAGGATCTTTTGGAATATAATAAAGAACAAAGCAGCACACAAAATGAACAGTTATCATTTCTTAGCAATTTGAATTCTCAAAGCCATATTTTTAAAAGAATTTCAAATAAACATTGGCATATTTTAAGACAAAATGAAGAAAATAAGGATATAAATACGTATATAGGAGAAAAGTCTAAAGTAGTCTATAGGGGAGCAAACTATTTTAAGAATATTTTAACTAAAAGCTGTATCCCAAAGAGAGGAAGGGTAGATAAAGATGTATTGGCACTAAATTGAAGGGTTTCCACAATTGTGGACAATGTAAAGCTTGTAAAAGTATAAATATCATTTCTTTAAAAAAAGGAAACACTTTCATCTGGCGTTACAAAAAGGGAGTATTTTATTGAGTATTTTATTACATGTAATACTAGTAATGTCATATATATTTTGATGTGCAAATGTTGCCTCCAATACGTTGGGAGGATCACTAGACCACTTAAAATAAGAGTGATTGAACACTTGCGCAATATGCCAAATAAAGTTACAACGCATTCTGTATCTGCTCATTTTACTCAAAGCAATAATTGTGATTTTAAAATGCTAAATTTTATTGGTATACAAAAAGTAGCCAAGCCATGGAGAGGTGGGGGGGAGGAACTTTTAGAAGATTTTAAATAAAACAGAGATGAAATGGATCTTCAATTTAGAAACCCTCTCTCCTCATGGTCTTAATATAGATTTTGAAATGTATTATTTTATTTAGGATATTCACTAGTGCAATAAATATATGAGTATTGTAGATGATAAAATATTTTATATTTTTAACCATTTTTTTCTTTCCTTCTTCTTTCTTGTAATTATGTACTGGTCATGTATTTTTATGACTGGGAACTTATTTATATTAATGGGACTGTGAGCACTAAGGATATTGATATTATAGGTTAAGATTTCCCCATATAAGGAAATTGGAACTGTTTGGATTGTGTGTAACTGAGATATAACTAACGTCGGAACGAACAAATATGACTGCTGGAACGCATTTCGAAGGTGGAAAGCATGAATATGGCCGTTGGAATGCATAACGTCGGAACCGGAAGTGACATCACATACCATTGCAATATCGATCGCAATGAAATAATGAGACTGGGAAGGTTCCTATAGGGTAATTATAGTAAGTGGGGTTTTCATAATTTGAAAAATAAGCACCAATATGGACTTAAAAGCTTAGACATCACATGGAAATATGTAAACTCCTGAGGAAGACACAGATTTTAGCATTGAAACGGCCTGTGCTATTGAAATTGGAGGCACTTTTCTGTATGTACACTTTTACCTTTTTTGTAATAAATATTATTTGTTTTAAAGTTAGAAGTTGGTGCTCTTCATCTATTTCTACTAAGAAGATCTGGTATTCCTGAATGGGACCTGCACTGTT